AAAAAAAAAAAAAAAAACCATGTGAACTTCATGAGGAGATGAGCACCTGTGCCAGCAGCTCTCAATTATAGAAGCCCACCGGGGATCTACTTCCTTTGGAATCTCTAGCCGTTGGTTCATGAACCCTACAGCTCCAATCACCTGCAAATATCCTAAACAAACTGTTGTTCATATACCCAGAGCTACAAGACATGCAATGCTCAATAGTTTCTAAAGGAAAATTCCTCTCAAACCTATTCACATCTTCCAGCAAACATTTTTTTTTTTTATAATATGGTTCAAGTACCAACATAGACCTTCTCTATAGAGGAAAGCAGTTTATTCGGCGATGTTTCACTCTTCCTACAAGAATGACTAGCAAATCTTTCTAATGGAAACTATACCTGCATTGAGTTGAGATTATCCCAAGGTATCTTCTCAGTAGCAAGCTCCCACAATATGACTCCAAAACTATAAACATCGGACCTAAGTTTTTTCCCAACAGGAACAAGAAATACAAGGTCAGCAGTGAGAAAAAGGGTGAATGCGACGGGGATGGGGGCAGGGCAATTTGCTTTGTCTGCAAAAAGGGGAGGAGAGAAAGCAACATACTTCTCATCTGAGGGTTCATTACGAAGAACTTCCGGCGCCATCCATTGAGGCTACAAAAAAACATGGTACTTATAAGTCCACCAGGTAACTAGAGAGTTACGCATCCTCCCAAAATGATTAAACTCATTAGATTAATATTATTGATGAAGTAAATAGAGGTATCAGTAAATACCGTTCCTTTCCCAGTCTTTGTTGTAAGAAATGTTTCATGCTTGAGACGTGACAAACCAAAATCGCCTACCTGTTCAAATACAATTACGTTACTTTTACCTCAATTAAGAAAAGTACCCTCAAAACCCTAAAGTAAACCAAAACTGGATTTAGAATTAAAAAGATGCACATAACTAATGGCAAACCTTCACAGTCCAATTCTTATCAACCAGAAGATTTGAAGACTTCAAATCACGATGAATGATAGGTGGATTGCAGTGATGAAGATAATTCACACCTCGTGCCTGTAAAAGTTTAAGATGAATTGACAGAGGGAAGGGGTACCCCAGTGATGCAAGAAGAATGAAATAAAAACAAATGCAGACCAACACATGATGGCACTATATCCATCACAACAAGAGAATCACCATAAAATTGAATATATAGTTGATACTCACAATATCCAAAGCCATATGAACACGCCGTCTCCAATCTAATTTGGTAGTATTCCTCTGTAGTAAGCGAAACAAACTCCCCCTGCATCAATAAAACATAAATATAAGCATTCATCAAGCCAAGAAGTAAACTGTTTGACATAAGTAAAAAGGAATTACTGTCCTAGAGAACACTACATATACAATGTGAAAGTTACAAATATGAGTGCCAGCACTATAAGAATTTCAAAAAGAAAGTTGAGATTGAACCGTGGAAGGAACTCTGTGACAATGCAGAGACGTTGAGGTGAAGTCACAGCTCCCATGAACAGCAGAACATTTGGATGCCGAAGTCTTTTCATCAGAGATACCTTCAAAGCAAAAGCAAAATAGTGAGAGCAGCATTTGACAACAGGAAGAAACAAACAACAACAAATTCAGTGGCTTTGGTCAGTTGGTGAATGTGCACAATCAAGCAAAGATAGGTTGTGTATTGCATGATTCTAAAGTTACCACCAAAGAAAGAAAAATGTATTACTAATTATGTAAACAACAGCGAAAGGTAATTTAACAATAAAGCACACCTCCTGTCTAAAGGAATGTACCACATCATCTGAATATTCCTGCTTGGAGAATACCTTGACAGCAACATCCTGCAATAACATGAATATGGTTGAATTACAGAATTCATAAGATGATGAGAATGTTTTTCATGCTCCCTCCTTGCCATTTAATACCAAAAAATAACGGGAGAGTAAAAAGGAACACGTCTAAATTTTTAAATTAGATTCATCTATAATGTGTTCGTACGTCCTCTCAAAAGTGAAGGTAATGAAAGGAGCAGAAGAACATACTGATCCATACCACAGACCATGATAGACAGTTCCACAAGAACCTGTGACGAAAGCCAAGGAAAATAACATAAGTATTAAAATAATATATATCCACGAAAACATCAGAAAGAAATAAATAATACAGTATTAAAAAAAGTAAAACATGGACAGAGCTTTGAGTCAATGAACAAGTTATCAGCTAATGACATGAATGTCCGCTAGACATTGGGTTTCAGGCATCTGCTTTGATATACCAACACCAAAAAAGGGTGAAGAGAAAGCATCACAGTAAAGTTTTAAGCATAAACTAGTGGTTCCTATCTTCATGTCTCCCAGTTGCTGTTCATTTGAAAGAACCTTACCTTGCCCAATTTGCTCTCCAATTGTCAAGTCTTCCCACAAGATTTCATAATCTAAACAATCAGAGTCCATATCAACTCTATTAACAGCACTACTGCTGGTACTCCCACAGCTGCTGGCACTGCTTGTGCTGTTAACATTAACAGAGGATGACCAGGAACCCGATGCCTCATTATTGACAGGTCTATTACTTTCATTAACGTGGCCTTCAGCTTTTGTACCAGAAAATGGGCCCTTTTGTTGAAATGTTTCGCTCTCTTGATCATTTCCCAACCAAGGCCAAACAAAACGGGTAGTCCTTGCCTCTGATGCTTCTTGATCATTCCCTTTCCAAGGCCATGATATCCCTTTTTTACCCATTAAAGTAATAATCTTTCGGATTGCAGGTTTTCCTTCACTCTCATCACCAGAATCTCTAGAGGTTTTTGCTGGGGACTTCTCGTCAAAAGGAGAAAACACACCAAAGGCAGATGGGGGTATATCTCCCCGAGGTGTACTTGCTCCACTGGAAGTTGCATCCTCTTTATGATCAGAAAAAGTGGCATCAGAGAAACCATGATCAGCATATTGAATATCTCCACCTCCCACTTCACGAACAACACAATTCTCTCCGGTCCTCATTCTGGACTTCACTTTGTTGCTCACCTTAGACGCCTGCGTTAATAATTCTTAACAATCAACACAAGCCAAACTACAAATAAAAAAAAATCCAACCACAAAACATTAAAAAATTATGGGACTAATACCAAATTTGTTATTTTCGAAGCAATTGCAGTTTGTAGAGGCTGCTGAGGATCAAGACCAAGTTTGGCCGAGACAGCATTTTTAGACCGGCTAAAGGTTGAATCTCCTTCTGGTTGCCTTTCAGCTGACAGTGCAACTCTCATCTCTTGAAAAGGTCGAGAATCAGTGGATACACAAATGATTCCAACCAAAGAACCATCATCATCATAGAAAGGAGTATTGGTTGCAACTGCCGAAAACCTCTCCCCCATTTTATTCTTAACCGGAAATTGTCCAGTCCAACTCTCGCCCATGGTAACCCGATGAAATATATTATGCGCAACCGCAAAGTCCCTAGGGTCAACAAGAAGCTCAATGGCATCTTGCCCTAAAGCCTCTGCTGCGGAGTAACCATAAAGCTTTTCAGCAGTTCGGTTCCTGCAAACAAACAAAAAAAAAATACGTCAAATGCACAAATGACAATGCTACTTATATAATTAACAAGACTGAATCATATCATTAATTACTAATTTAGGAAATAAAAAAAAATGAACTTTAGCAACTAAATAATCGAAAAAAAGAAACCTTTTATATTTCACTTACCAATAAATTATACGGCCACTGAGATCAAATATATGAACAGATTGTCCCATAGACTGTAATATATTCAGATACTGGCCATTAGTGAAATTAACGGCAGCTGGCCCGATGTTCCCGGTTCTTCCTTCGCCTCCGCTTTCGCCGCCATTTACTGTATCCCCGCTTCTGCTCTCTCTTTGCAACGGCGACGAATGTCGAAACGAACCGGAACCTTTCTTCCAAGAAGCAGCAGCAGCCGCCGCCGCTGCCCCCGGGAATCGCGGGCGTTGAGGGGATGTAGAGTGGGATCTTTGACGAGCGGAGTCGGGCTTTGACTCCCCGGATTGTTTCAACCTTGACATTTCCTGCTTGAGATGCGCATGTCCCGCTTCCAGTTCTTGGATCTTCCTCAAAAGCTCCTCCGCTGGAGGCGTTTCCATTTTGGCTTTTCTTTCCCTTCACCAATCAAATCCAAAGCATGGGGCTTTCAAAGCTTCGATAACATATAGATTTATCAATGAACCCTCTCTCTCTCTCTCTCTGCCTCTGACTTAATCCACTCTTTCTCTCTCTCTCTCTCTCTCTCTCTCTAGAAACTCTCTTCTCTTTTAGGAGGTCAAGACTCAAAGACTCCACCCTTTTTCTTTTTTCTTTTTTTTTTTTTGGTTTGATTTTCTTTCTTTGCCTTTTCTCTGGTTTTGGGCGGTTTCTGTTTGTGTGTGTGTGTTTTTTTTATCTCATTATTATGATATGAATCTAAAACTGTTTAGACCAGATGTTTAAATAGCCCACTTTGGGTTCCCACGCGCCACTAACTCACGCGGTGAGTATTAGCCTGTCAAAGTGGTGGATTTTTACTCTACGGTCCAATCCACGTTGCGAGTTGACGACACGTGCGAAGTGGGGAATTCGCTCTATTTGGGCAGCATTTCGGCTTTCACTTTTCCTCTTAAAGGCTTGAAGTCCCTTTCCAACCCACAATTTGTTTAATTAAAAATTAATGAACTCGTTGAAATTTGGGGAGTTTAATTTAATATTCCCACCAATCCTTTTTTTTTATTTTTTTGTATTATAAAAAATAAAAATATCTCAAAATAAAAAAAATTATCTTAATTTTCATAAAAATCAAAACAAAACAAACATTTAAAAAGGAAAAAAAAAAAACCGATTCTAGAATCTAAGGGATGTTAGCTTAGGTTTTAAATTACTTAAATCTGCATATGCACAAGTTCATTGGACCGACTTAAAATAGTACACCTATGAATATAGACATTACAAATCTCTCCTTGGTCATACAAAGTAATATTAAAGTTAGACAATAAGTAACAATTAAGGTGGAAGAGTTCAATAAATTAAATTAAACACGTGTCAAATTAAAAGAGGCAAATATTTTGTATTGTGAAGCGAAGCTTTGTCTATTTTCAATTTTGGGTAAATAATCTAAAAGCTGTCTAAATCATAAAATTTTTTGTCCAAGTTTTTGCTTTAGAGGTGAGTATGTCTCAAGGAAGAAGTATTGGCACTCTTTGCTACTTGTTTTCCAAAACACTTAGCTTATTTGATCTTTGTGCCTTTCTTAAAAGGTGTCTAAATATGTGAACGTTTTTATCCAAGACAAAAGATTTGTAGTATAAAAGTTTATTCAAACATAAATATCCAATAAAAATTTTGATTATTTTGATAAATATATACTTACTAAATACTTGTTTTATAGAATTGATAATGTTAGAAATTCATGAACAAAATAATTAATGAAAAGAAAATATAAACAAAAATAAATATTGGGTTTTTGTTCCTATCTAATTACGGGTTAGTTTCATCTTTGAAAGCAAGAGACAAGCTGTCGCCTTTCTTCTTTTTTTCTTTCCTTTTGTGTTTTTTTTTTAATTTTTTTCCTATTTTGTTTACGTGCACAGCATGATTAAGGACGTGCACGTGTCACGGGGCGATTCTTAAGACCACCTTCGTGCGGCCTTGGATTCAGCCCTTAGCTCGGCAGTAGAACCCAAGTCAGCCTTACTCACCCGACAAGCGCTCAACACCCGCACAATGGCTTTAAGCCGGCAAGCAAGCTTGCATAAACAAGGAAGGAAAAATGAGAAGAGAATGCTAGAGAAAAACTAAACTCTTTATATTGAATGAATTGAAATACAAAGGATGCAAAAATGGATGCAAAAATGGATGATTTACACAATGGTGGATGGGGCTATTTATAGCCAAGGTTCCCCACCCACTTTTCCCTCCAAAGTTTTTAATTCAAAGTATTCCCCCCAAAAGATTTCCCTCCAAAGTTTTCAATTCAAAGTATTCCCCCCCCAAAAGATTTCCCTCCAAAGTTTTGGAAGGTTCTAGAAATTCGGTTGGGAGGGAAAATTTGAATTTTCCAGCAGCCCCCCCTACATGGGTCTAGTGGGCTGGCACCCTCTTGGGCCTCCTGGCGGGTCCGGACTATGTCACTTCTTGGGCCTCCTGGTGGGTCTGGACTGTGGCCCGTGACACACGCACATAGAAATTTTAAGGTTCAATGCTTGATAGAGACAATCAGCAGCAGCAAAAATCTTTGATTCTTCTCTCTTTTGCTACTTTAAATCTAAGGATAACATTTCACTACCAATGGAAAGGAACAAGTGACAGCTCCATCCCTGTTAAAAAAAGGGTTTACCAGAAAAGGGGAAAACCGCCCTCCAAGCATTGGGATGTCATGCATCCTTATCTTAAACCCACATGCTTTGGAGATAAATTTTGATTGAAATTGGCAGAAGCTGACATGGAAAGCCTCATCATTCCATACCTAATTTCAGTGACTGTTTCCAACTGCTGCTTAGACCATTCATATAATATTACTCATCATGTATATTGAGTAGGTAACATGCATGCATGCATCCATGAATCGTATGCTATGCTATGCTTTGCTATTTAACTAACATTGCTAGCATAATATCTAGGCATGCTTAATCAAAAATTCTTAAGGTTTTGGGTTTCATTTACTGTCAAGAAGATGTTCAAGCTTTCCTTTTTCATCTTCTAGCTTTATTCTTTACGGCTTTAGATGCAACAATCCAAGTAGGTATTGGGCACCTGGTAGCTCCTCCCACCACGAGGAAAAAGATAAAAAGAAGAAATAAGGGGGAAAAGGGGGGGCCTTAAAGAACAAGGCTCCAATTTGTGATGGGCAAAAAGCAGGATACGATAACTTCATAACTTCCCAGCTCTCAACTAATGCCAACTTTAGTTTGAAAGACAACAGAGTAAGTCTTGCACTAGAGTACAACATCTCAATAATGGTAAATTTGATCAATCATTCACCTGCTAAATGCAGCACTACACCATATAGACAACAATATCTGTTTCACAACCAATGGCAACTAGGATGAAAGTATCAAACCCATAAATTATTCCTAACTTATCCTCTCTAAAGAAAAATTCTCACTAATTACAAGGAGAAGCACATATACATCAGATTGTCAGAATACTAGGGTTACATAAATTTCAACAACCAGAGCAGGAGAACTGATTTTATTACATGGGGAGGGGAAAGGAAAAATTTTTGAGCGCAAAACCTAAGGTAGGTGGATATGTTACAATTATCTTAGGATCATGAGAAGATCTAACTCATATGATACATCTAGAATATATGTTGTGGCGGAAGACAGCTTCTCAATCTGACCGCAAGCCCAGTACCACAACAGCCTTTTGTTGTGGAAGGGTCTACAACATTCTATAATTACTCTCATTTACTCCTGCTTAATGAATAACACAACAGTTCACAATATGCAGTACAATCTGCATCATTATGATTTTTTACAACTACACTCAGGGCAAGGATTCGATCAGCTTGGCTCACATGATAAGGTTATTTGATCTGGAACATACCGGGAAACAGCAAGCACTAATAACATTTCAACATGAGTAGACCAGAATTTTTAGATCTGTTGAGTACCATCAGCTGAATCAGGTGGCTCTAGGTCATGTATAAGCCATGAAACTGGGATAAGCAAAGGTTTGGGTATATGACGGAAAAAGAACTCGGGTTAAATTTGATGAAGGTCTGAAGTATTGGGGATCTCAAGGGCAGATAACCCAGTCAACACTCTTTGAGCCTCTCCGAGGTACAGGAAGTTCAAGGATGATTAAGAAATAACATCTTTCTGATTCTCTGATATATTGGACCTCACCATTCATGAGCTTTAAGATTTTTCGGCACATGCTCAACCCTAAGCCCTCTTGTGTCATCCATCGACTGCTATGGAACATGTCTTGAACCAATTCAGGAGGAAGACCTTCACCAGGGCATACCATCCTTCACAAATACACCATTGTTTGTGGAATTAGCATCAGGACATAAACAGGATTCATGCCATCATTAATCTAAGAAAAAAGAACAAATGCTGCTCATTCCCTCACATATTTGCACTTATTGAAGAAACTACAAATAAAAGCCATGTCTAAGGTCTCTCGAAGTACATTGTCGCTTGACTTCTTCCACAGGTTTGAACTTCACATAAAATTTACACTTATTGCAGAACCAAGTTTTCCAGAACATATTATGTCTTTAGCTTTAATGTCATGATTATATAATTTTGACTCCAATAAAAGTATACTGTAGTTTTTCCTTTTTTTGGTATATTAGTTAGCATAACCATTGACATTAATCCTGTGTAATGCATAAAAGATTGAAAGCAAAATACCTGAATTCAGTACGCACAACAGTAAGTCCATCAGAAATTCGCTTCAAAGTGGGACAAACATGAATCTCTACCCAACCTTCGGCAGATGGTGCATAACGCACCATATTCAACAAATATTCAGCCAATACCTGTTGGATTCTCACCTGATCACCATAAACAGCCAGAGTTTTGATCTCCTCGGGAATATCCCGAATTAACTGCAGATTTCTTTCCCTCAGCAGTAGCATTACTTGGCTAACAACAGCATTTATGACACTCCCAAGATAAAAGTCAGCCCTTTCAAGCTCCATAGAACTAATTCCAACAAAAGCAAGTGAACAATTAGATAATGTCTTCCTCATTAGTAAAATTATGCTGAGGGGATTTAGAAAAAATTATAAATACATGCCTGATCTTGAATACAGTAGAAATCACAGAAAGACTAGACGAAATAGAAATGCAAATTTCAGTCCAAAGATTCATGAATGGAAGCTTGTGGTTTGCCTTCAGTTTCCCAAAGCCACATTGACAAGAGAAAATACAGATACAAACTTAAGAAATAGATTCATGGTTGATGCCACACAATCAAGTGACATAAACCAATGTTTTTCTGATTCAACTTTCACAACTTTGCTATAGTTAACTTTCAAACCAACTGACAACAGAGTTAAATAAACATTTCCAAAATGAGATGTTGTGACAACAACCTTAAGGATAAGGCACCTCCATAGTGATCGAGAAAGAGAAGCATGCATCTTACACAATGAATGCAGTCTTAGAAGATAACTTTCCATAAAAAGAATATTTTAAACATAGTTAGAGTCAAGGCGACTATAAAGCAGTAATTCCAGTTTCCACTCTCATTGTTCTGAGTTAGATTTGAATGCAATTGCATCCATAATCAAGAAATAAATCCAACAAATGTAGTTGCCACAGATGAAATAGTGTTCAATAGTCTAGCATCACATGTTTGTTCCCTAAAAGTACTATTATAGAAATCAGACAATTGAGACCAAGACAATTCCTGATGTACATGCATGCAATCTGTAGAATTTAATATCTGGTTTTAGAAATAATATGGTAAGGTGACTCACCCATCCTCAATGCTCTCCACATCAACATCTCTTATAATCTTCAACATTTGCTTCTCACAAGCAGCACTAGTCTCAAGAAACTGCTTTTGATCTTCAGTCAGCTCTGTAGCTTCCAAAAGTGAGTTAGTAAAGCGGATCCCATTCAAAGGACTCTTAATTTCCTGGCAAATGTAGGTCAACTCTTTCATCCTAGCAAAGCACTTCTTTTCCTGTTGCCTCTGGACTTTCAGTGCTTGCTGCAACTCTGGACTTGCAATCTGCAGGAAGCAAAAGGCTCCTACAACCTGGCCTTCCATATTGACCCTTTTGTTTGCCGTCAAGAGTGCCTGCACATATTTCGCGTTGCGGTCAAAGAAGGAAAAAGGGAACTTATCTGCCTCCAGCCCTCCAATGGCATTGTGTAAAAGAATCATGAATTTTGTCAAAGCATCTGGACCCTTGAGGCGACAGCAACTGCCGAAAACCTCACCAACCAACATTTTTCCTATGATTTCCTCTCGAGTCCACCCAGTGAGCTTTTCCATGGCTGTGTTCCACTCCAAGCAACATGTGTTTTCATCTGAAGCAAAAATGGGTGGGATCAAAGGATTGGGACTATGAACAATGGCCTTATAATCACCTTGTATGTGGATGAATTTGTCCATCACCACCTTTTGACCAGTAACATCCTGACCAACAAAGCAAACTCCAACTATATTATTTTTATAATCCTTACTAGAGCAAGCATTGACCACCACATATATAGCTTTTTTATGACCTTCTGAGCCAAAAGTCCTCAATTTTATCTCTACATTTTTATCTTCTTCACCTGCATCAATTGAGGGAAAATAAACACACCTTTAAAGCCAATACTAAGCTGTTTGGAAAATATTAATCATCACTGTGAAGAATGGTGTAGGAAGAGGGAGTTTTGATTCCCATGTAATGACAAATGTGGACGTGATACTATTAGAATGAACTGCATTAGTGCTTATTTTTTGTACAATTTGAAGTGACTTTGAATGTGCATCAAGGTACTAACAAGGCTGCAAAAAAAGAACTCCTTTTAGATCGATCCCTCTTTTCACTCGGTTTCATTCTGATTGGTATATTGCATTCTTATACGAAATAAACTGAAAAAGATATCAGAATACCTTTAGAAGATTTTTGAGGTGGTAAGGAAAATGATAATATACGCAAGAGGATTACCTTGCAAAGCACGACTAAGAAGCTTGTAGACAGTTTCTTGATATTCCTTGTAAACAAGATCATGAACCAAGGACTTCCCCATGGCTTCCTCAACTGAGAGCCCTGTCAGTTCTGCAACCTTTGCATTCCACCCATTAATGAGACCTTCAACATCTACAGCAAATATGGGAGCAGTTGCAGTCTCTATTAACCTCACCATTTCTCTTGCAACTGAGCTGAGCTCATCCACTCCTTGTAGCTCTAGTTCCCCAAGCTGAGCATGTACAACAGCTTTAGAATTGCTTGCTTGATTATCCCTGAATGAGTCACGCAGAATAAGCTGCAGTGAGTGAATTGCATCCATTTCTGCATTCTCCCATGGCAAACTCCGACTTTTGACCACTTCCAGAAATGCCTTGAATGAAGACCGTGGGTGCATTCTTTGTCCATCATCCTTGTCCTCTGGGTGATGCTTTGCACCACCCCATTTAATCTCTTTTGCTGTGTGGGACCGGAACCAAAATAGAAAATCCCTTTTAGTGATATAGGCAACAGCCAGCCCACTAACTGCATCCCCAAGTGAGGCTGCCTCGGGGTAGCCAGCATCAGCCAAACTGTCTGTGCTTAAACCAGTTGAGTCTCCGTGGAATGCCAACAACCACTCGACAATATTTTTTATCTGGGCCTCAGTTGGGGTCACACCTAATGGGTAATATTTACCTTGGTAATAAAGAGCAGCCCCATCACATTTCACAATATCCATAATGCTGGGACTTTGAGTAACAATCCCAGTTGGAGAGTCACGAAGAAGCATATCACACAAAAGAGTTTGAGTCTTTAAAACACGTTTCTCAGACAACTGAGATGCCAATTGCAATTCCATATTCAATTGAAGTCCAAACGCTTGCATTAGGAACTCACACGCGTATCGAAGGGGAAATGGAATGCAACGAGCAGAAGTATGATGACAAACAACCAAACCCCAAAGCCTCATTGAATTTCTTCCCCCAATAGCTTCCTCATCATTTCCATTGATAATAACTGCCATTGCCAAAGAAGCAATTGACCCCATATTAGCCATATACTGAGCATGGCAACCGTGAGGAGCACGAAGAGTAGAACCAACCAAGCACAGAGGCTGCATTAACCCATCATCCTGAACCACACGCACAGGCATGGCATGGCAGTCTGCTATCATCCTAACTCTGTTCTGTTTAAACAAAAACCTCGACGCCTGAGGAATATCAGATGCAGGATAATGCAAACCAATGTAAGGATCCAAGTCAGGCCTTTGACTCTCAGCCACAACCTCCCCATGCTCATCCTCATGAAACTTATAAACCATTACCCTATCATATCCGGTAAGCTCTCTAACACTCTCCACAACAGTATCACACAAGAGTTTAATATCGCCACCGGGGAGGGATTGTAACTGAGAAATTGCACGGACAGCTAATTTTTGTGACTGGACAGCCCCTGCAATAGACAGGGCAGGGTCCTCTGTTCTTGCAGGTTCCAAATCAATCACAATTCCAACATCAATCCTATGCAAAATAGCGTAAAAGGGTTTCCCTGAGTTCTTTGAGTGAATCCAAACCGGATTCAGCAACGTGATTTCGCGCGCCCCAAAGGCTTTTTCTAACAGAATTGCGCTGGAAGGTGTGAAAAGGGTGCGAACATCAGTCCCAATTGTGAGCACTTCGGTTTTCTCCAAATTGGGAACAGATTGAGGGGTTATTCCAAGCATCTCACGCGCGTTTTCGCTGTACGCGATGACGAGGAAACTGGGTTCGTCAACTGCTATCATGCAGCCAAATGGCTGGATGTGGCCGCCTCTTTGGATTTTAGACAGATAAGCTGTGATTTGTTGTTCTGGAACGGATTGGGTGGTGGTTCTAACGGATTGGGAGTAATCAAAGGACTTACCGGATTCCCCAGATTTTTCGAAAACAGCATGGAGTCGAGCGTCGACCGTGTACTGAGCAATGGCTTTGCTGATGGAGTCGGCCTGGTGGTTATGCCCGTGGGGCGCCCTCATGTTGCTGGTGCCCGAAGACTGAGCTTGCTGTTGCTGCTGCTGCTGTTGCTGCTGCTGGGAGTGAACTGCTCTGCCGCCAGAAGCCATTACTCTGTTAACTTCTTTGTCCTTTCTTGCTTTCCCCGCTGATTTTTTTGTTTCTCTGGCTTCGAAAGTTCTGTTTATAAAGTGTTGGGTCAGGAGATAGGTTTTGGGGGAAAGTTGTGCTGACAGACCCACGTGGGCATGCAGATGCTGGCGTGTGTGTTTTTGCGGTGGGATTGGGAGAATTCCTTTAGATTTTTTTTCCCCTTTGGGTGGAAAAGGATCGAAATTCACAAACCTTTTTGAATGAATCGAAAGCAATCTGTGAGACTGTGAGAGTGTGTTCTGCTGTTGGCTTTTGTTTTGTGATCCAATGCCTAGGTTCGTTGTTTCCGCTGCTTTCTTTCGGTTGATACCTTTGCGGAGTGGGGGCAGGAGGAACTGGGAAGGGAAAAAGGTTTTATTTCTCGGCTTGATATTCAATTTCTCCTTTAAAGTAACAGTATGTGCTTTTTTTTTTTTTTCTTTCTGTCCTGGAAATTGCTTATGGCCATGGACAGATCGACGAGGGTCGGGAATAAAAAGCAAACCATTTGTTTGGCGGACATGTGTTCTGGTGTAGGCCCCGTGACAGTCTTTTTTTTTTTTGTCCGCCCATTTCTTCTGTTTCTTCTTGTTCATTCACATAAATATAAAAACAGCTTTTACTTTATCCATTTTTTTAACATTGGCCCCAAAATTTTATATAAAAAAAATAAATGCTTACCGTTTTAAGTATTGCCGCATCACAGCAAAGAAAGCAACCTTTTCAAATCATTTATTCATTGGGAAACTGCGGCTGCATGCATGCTTCCTTGTCATTTGTTTATTCCTCGATGTCCAACGGATCTCTCTCTCTCACTATTCTGTTCCTGTGTCTTCCACAATATGACCTTCTCACATTTAAAGGCAAGAATCCAAAACATAAAGAAGCCTTCATTTGCCAAATGGGCCATCAAGCTTAGATCCAGGCCTAATCCCAACCTTCCGATTCCAAGTGTGGAATTTACTTTTGATGTTTTACACTTATTTTTTTTGATAGAAGAAGGCATTACCGTTCCAAGCTCGAACCCAGAATTTCTACTCATATCCTAATCCACCCTTCGGTAGAAATTGCTTGATGCCAAACAAATTTAGTCAGTCGAGTTTATAAGGGATTGGGATTCAATTCACACTAACTTAAAAAAAATATATTATCAGTTTTAACCTAAATTTCATATTTTATCTTACGACATTCCACAAATAAAAAATTATATGAATATTTAAATATTCAATCTCATTCTTTTACACAATTCATATGATTCACAATTAAGAGCTTGCAACAACTCGGAATAATATATTTTGAAACAAGATAGATTGCGGACCTGATCCAACTTTAGAAAAGCTTATTTTTGAACTGCCTACATTAATTCAGAATGGAGGGATTCTCATACAATGTACCGTTTAGCACATACAAGCTACAACCTGACATCTCTTATTTGTCCGGGGAACTGGTACCTAGGAACTAAATCTAATCAAGCAAACATCACTTCGTTTAATAAATTGGCCGAAGACTCTCTCCTTGTGAACTTCGAATAAGAATTAAACTATGGGCGGCCCACCATTTAGCATTACAAACACTAATCTAAGAACCAAACAAACCATTACCCCATCAAAATGCAGACACAATAACTCCAAGAAAATGCTCGAGGAGAGCAGGTAGTTGTTGCACCTGCTGCGAATGAATCTCTCACTTGGTGTAGAGAACATCCTCCCATGGGTGACGGTATAGTGGCTGCTTCAATCTCTTCTGGTCAAAAGTGTGCCTGAGATATCGACAACTCAATGTCAGAAGCAAGGAAATACATGGAGTTTATGACAACACAGTAAAACATTACAGTCAACATCTTTCTCTCTCATTGCATTGTCCTTGTATCAATTAATTAATGAACCTTCACCACCTCAGCAATGTGTATGATTTCAAAACTATTTGGAAAAATGAAATAAATACACTTTTGAACAAAATTAAGTCAGGTTACCGGATACCGTGATTAAAAAATGGCTTGAGAGTCTAAACTCCAAAAGTGAGTACCATCATCCAATGGTTTGATTGTAAATGGATAAGCAATTTAAAGCAACACGTTAAAAGTTTAGATATAAAAATTTCAAAAGTGTAAGCAAACTTACCCAATCAAACCAATAGATCGTGCTAGCACAAAAAGCCCATTCAGGTAACCAATCTCAACTATCTCATCAATCTCTTGTTTGCTGAACATTCCACTACCAGCAAGAAGATCCAAGAAAAGAGACCCAATGGCACCATCCACATTGAGGACAAGGTTGTTAGCCTTTGAGAGAGTATAGGTTTCAACTTGAACGGCATATTCCATGTACTTCACAGATGGGAAATGTGTGCGTGCAAACCGTTGGAGGAGCTCTACTCTCTTATCTCTGTTGTCCCCTCTCTTGATCCTTTTCACAGGAAGTAAAGCAAGTATTTGTAACAATTAGTTACGTAATATGATCAATTAAGACAAAAATAGAAAACCAGATGTCATGGTTACTAGCTTTTGCATGGTTTAAAAACTTCATGACCATTAAAAACAATCTGTACCTGTGGCCAATTCCTGGCACACGAATGCCCTTCTTTTTCATGCTTTCAACAAATTCATAAGGTGTAAGACACTGTGAAAAGCATAGCACAGAGGCAACATCTTAGAATGTTATCAGAAAACAGTCATCACACACCAAGCAATCCCAAATCTTCACAAGTAACCACCATTAAATCTTACCCTATCGTAAGCATCTTTAAAGTATCGAGCAGCATCATCGATGGCACCACCAAATCGAGGACCAATAGTAAGCAAACCTGAAACAAGGCTGGAAACAAGGTCCTTCCCAGCTCTTGCAGTCACAATAGTGTTGTGAGCACCAGAGACACAGGGACCATGGTCGGCACAGAGCATGATGCATATCTGACAAGATCAACCATATTAGTGAGAACACAACTCAACTTTGCTTTCTAAAGATGGAGAAAGTCATAAAGTGAAAAGAAAAGGATTAAACCCAATCTAACTTCAACAACGACATTATCATATCCTTTATTTCATCAACTCTGAAAGAGTACCAATAGTAAAAAGGTGATGGGAGATGTGGGTTGCTAGGGGCTCATAACTCATATGAAGTTTATTATAATTTTCAGAAGCCTACCTCGATAAAATGAGTACAGTAACGGGGAAGGCTACGTTTGAACCACAAGAGAGAAATGACATCGCCAACACCATAACCTTGCTCAACAATGGAAGACATGGGCACACCAGCATAGCATGGCTCCTCACCTGCAAATTTGGTTCAAAGTAACAATTTAATACACCTTATCTCCACGTCACCAAACATCTCATTTGATTGGCAATACATATTGGTTAAGATAAGGTACCTCTGTCATCAGAGATGGTCGAAATAATATGAGTTGGAGCACGAACTTTTCCGCTCTTAATTGCACTGTTAAGATCTTCTGGGATTTGTGGAGGCTTAATTTCCTTCACAGGTGTAATCTTCTCTTCTTCAACCTAAAGACAACCAATCAAGTACGTAAATATACATAAGCATAGAACTGGCAAAACTCTGCCCAAGACAGAAACTCACCAGTTTCGCAAATGTCTCCTTGATTGCAGCTTCCAAAGCTTCATATGAAGTGGGAACAATAGCTCCAGCTTCCCTTAGTGCTTGATTCTTCCCCTGTGCAGACTCCATCTCACCACCACTCTTAGCTCCCTGAATAAGTAATAAGGAAGGTGAAGGTAAGGTCTCATTACTAGCAATAACAGCATAGCTCGAACACGAAGGAAGGAATGATGAAGTTCAGGAAAAATTAAGGTAAAAACTTACAGCATGACCGAACTGTACTTCTGATTTGAAGAGTCGTGCACAAGTTCCACTGACCCAAGCAACAACTGGCTTGTTCACTTTTCCCTGTTTCAAGGCTTCAACTAAAGAATACTCATCTCGTCCACCAAGTTCTCCAAGGACAACCATCATCTTTACCTGAGTGGATGAAAACAAATCAGGAATTTTTTTTTTCAACCAAAAGATGACTCAACATCAAGTAGAAATTTTAAATTGTTATTCCCAGTAAAAATTAAGAAAATGGAGTTGGAAGGGTAAGTTTTTTAATTTCATAACCATGCATGCTTTCATGTAGCACAAATAATATGCAGGAAATCACAAGGAGTTAAATGAAAACAACAAATTTACCTGTGGAATATTGTTAAACCGCAAGATATGGTCAGATAAAGTGGAGCCAGGGAAGACATCTCCTCCAATTGCAATGCCTACATAAGTTCTCAACATGTATCCAAAAATCAAATATTTCATAATAAATCTGCATTCATTTTGGCAGGCATGAATATAGAGTAAAATGTAAAGGTAGCTTATATGTTACCTTCATAGATTCCATCTGTAACACGGGCAATAGTGTTGTACATTTCATTTGACATGCCACCCTGAAATTATTTTACAAAAGATATAAGCCCACAACTAATGACAAGGTCCCAAATCCACATTCTTGCCAAAGCCATGACATTGAATGCGAAATTAATGATAGGACATTGCACCATAAAGTGTCAGGGTGCAATTGCTTAAGCAGAAGAGAAAGAGGTGCGATTAAACACACGCATGCACGAACACAAAAAAGTAAGTGTCATGATAACGTACGGATTTGGAGACAAAGCCAACAGATCCAGGTCTGTACAGCTTGCAGTGAATAATATTGTCAATTGTTCCAGCAGTGTCACCTATCTTAAAAGCTCCGGCCTGAATTCCTCCAACGGTAGCTGGGCCAATAACAACCTACAAGTCCACAAGTATTAATATCAATTAGAGAGTCAAAGAATACCGAAGACCAAATAGTTATAATCATTAAAGCAGATTATTTGCAAGTGCAAGACCCCGAGGAGGAGCATGGATATATTGGTTGACCATTTTCATTGCCTAGTTTGGTTCTCATCATCTTGCTCACCTTATTGTTGGAGCGGGCATATGCAATCAGCTGCTTGGTGTCTGACTCAGGAACACCTTCAGCAATTATAGCAACAACTCGAATGGTTGGCTGTTTCAGCGCAGCCATGGACGAAGCAGCAGCACTGCAAGTAAAATAAAACACAATGATTAAGTTATGCATTCAAGAATTCCTGCTCTCCAAAACAGCATGAAAGAAATGAAGACTAACCTTCGAAAGGATGCGAAGTTAATAAAAACATCGGCTGTTGGATGTGCAGCACATGCTGCCTCAATGCTGCAAAATATATCAATTCAAAGGTTAGAGAATATAAAGCTTGGAGAAATGCAAGTTCACCAATCAAATTGCAGAGCAAACCATTCAGCACTATCTTAATCTGTAAAGG